GCAGATGCAGATACGGACCATAATCTATTACTAGCAAACGTCAACAGTAAACTCAGAAAACCGGAGAAAAAAGTTAAAACCACCAAACAACATCAAAACCAAAATCAACTGCCAACAGCAACTAAACGCAGAGATAAATAAATTAACTGAAGGAAGCGTGGAATGGCAGATATGAAAAAAAGCCATACTAAAACCGAGAAAAGAGGTCCTAGGCGAAGAAGAGAAAACCACTAAAAAAGACTGGATGACACCGGAAATGTTAAGCTAATAACTGAAAAAAGAAAATACAAAACTAAAGATGGAAATAAATATAAAACCATCAAGAATAAGATCAAATATGAAATCAGAAAGGCTAAGGAGGAATGGATGGACAAGGAATGCCAGGAACTGGAAGAACTCAGCAACAAACATGACCCCTCAAACTTACATAAAAAAATTAAAGAACTTACAGCAACACCAGACAAAGAAGAACACTCATAACAAGAGATAATAATGGAGGAATACTTACTGAAGAGAGCAAAATAAAGGAAGTATGTGAACAATATATAATCCATATGTTCTATGACGAGAGGGAAAATGAACAAGATATAGGTGAAGAAGAACAATACCTACAAATTTTGCCCTCAGAAGTAAAGCATGCCCTACAGAACGCAAAACAAGAAAAAGCACCGGGTCCTGATCAAACTCCAGTTGAACTGTTAAAAGCTTTAGATGACGGTAATATAAAGAGACTCACCCGAACTCTCAACCAAATACAGGATGGTGAATCGTCAAACGTGCCATAGGAAACTCAATGGAAAATTCTAAATTATTGAATTCCTGCTTCCCTAATTATTTTACACCAAAAGTCATGGGAAACTATTTGTAGAGGACTCAAATATGTATCAAAAACAAATGTTAAAATTGTTCTACGATTTAAACATATTCCAAAATTTTGCAAAAATATAATACATTTTTCAGGCCACCCCTAAAAGTCAGGCCAGACGCCGTGAAAAAAACGTGTATTACGTGTTGCGTTCATATTGATGTTTCTGATATTTGACAATATTTAAATCAACTATATTATATTTATCTATTATTTAAATAAATATTGGTGGCCTGAAAAATGTATTATATTTTTGCCAAATTTTAAAATACATTTAATTTGTAGAACGGTTTTAACATTTATTTTTAATTCAGATTTTAGTCCTCTACAAATAGTTTTTATGACTTTTGATCTAAAATGATTAGGGAAGCAGCAATTCAACAATTTAAAATTTCCCATTGTAATAGAATGGCTTAAATCGATATTTTTACCTCTACTAAAAAACAACAATCCTAAATCATGTAATCACTATAGATTGATAAGCCTAATGTGCTACTCTTTAAAGATTCTCTTGAAAATTGTTCAAAACCGAATTTATAAGAAATAAAAGGAGCAGATAGATCAAACGCAGTTTGGCTTCAGAGGAGGCATGAGTACAAGAGAGGCATTATTTGTGTTGACGGTACTCTTGCAGAAATGTCGGGAATATAACAATAAGTGCATATGTATGTTTCATAGACTTTAGGAAGGCATTTGACCGAGGGCAGCATATGAAGTTAACAAATGAATTAAAAAACATCAATTTAGACAAAAACATATTGAGTTTATTAAGGCTATATACTGGGAACCAGAAAGCAGTAGTAAAGATGAACGATATAGAAACAAATAATATACCGATTGCGAGAGAGGTCAGGCAAGGATGCGTCTTGTCTCCGACGCTTTTCAACGTGTACTCACAGGCCATATTCAGAAAAGCCTTATGAAAAAGAAAAGAGGGAATAAGAATTGGTGAAGAAATCGTATACACCATGAGATTTGAAGATGACACGGTAATTATGGTCGAGAGTATAGAAGAACTACAAACTTTACTAGATGCAATAAATAGTGATTGCATTCAAATGGGACTTGACATCAACACAGTTAAGACCAAATTTATGATAGTATCAAGGAGTCGAATAAATAATGAACAATTAACCCTTGGTTGACAGCAAACAGATAGAGTGAAAAAATATAAATATCTGGCAAGGGCAGCGTTCTTAAAATTCAAGCAATTGTTTTGTGACAAAAATCTGAATACTGCGCTGAGACTGAGGTTTGTTGAATGTTATAGTCGGCACGTAATTTCGTGAGAAAATTTACAGAGACCAAAACAAGCAAAATACTAGTAAAATGGCAACGCTGTTAGAGTTACCACTCCTTTATTGTAGTACATAGTAGTAGAACAGTAGCGTAGATATCTAATTTTAAATTAAATAAAAGTTTTTACTTTTATTTAATTTTATTTACCAAAAAGTTTAATATAAATCTATAAAGTTTAAATAAAAAATATCGGTGTTTTTAACTTCTGTGATATATCTTGGGAGTGATAACACTAATCGACTCGACTGAACAGAACTTATTGTAAAATAATAATATCTATATAAAACATTGTTAATAATAGTAGTTATTCAGCGAGAATGACAGTGACAGTTTCAGTTGACATCCTCCCCTAAAACATTAATAATTTTTGTCCTATCAAGAAGTGTGTTTATACCCTGTTTTCAAAGATATATAAGCAAAATGAGAATATCTACAATTAAAATAGAAATAAAGGTTTCAACTAACACCTAATAAGTACTTACTATCTACTCAGAATCGCTGTTATTACTAGTATCACTCGTATCATCTAAATTTATATGTAATTTGGTTAATGCTGGTAAATATTTAACATAGTCATTTTCCACTCCGATCACATGTTTTATTTTTATTACATTTTTCCAGTTGGTTGCTGTAATTTTTGTGACTTCTCTTTAATTAACTGGAGAACAGTAGACAAAAAATTTTGGAGCAACGTTTCTTCTCATTATATTTCCTTTAAGTTGAGCCCATATTAACTCTATTGGGTTCAATGTACAATAATAAGGAGGAAGTCTAAACACAGTATGCCCGTTACTACGAGCACAGTTGTCAGCAACATATTCCTTTTCGTACTGTTTACTATGAACAACCTCCAACAATTGCTTTTTAATATAAGATGTCTCAAAATACAAATCTTCCGTGAATAAAAAATCCTGAATTTTTAATTTATTTCAACTATTATTTGAAGTTTTTTTCATCAATCTTGAATGATATGATGCGTTGTCCATGATAATCACACTATCTTTAAGTAATTTCGGAAGAAGACATTTTTCAAACCATGATTCAAAAATTGAACTTTCCATATCGTCATGATAATCCAGAGACGCGTTTTTAATTTGTTTTGCAGATATTAATAATGCATCGTCGACCCATCTATTTTCTCCACCGCAGTGTAAAATTATAATTCTCTTTCTTTTATTGGGCGGTACTGAGTTGAAACACTTTTTGTTATTATTTGTCCAACTTTTTTTTTCACGGTGTCATGAGTATCATACCAGGTCTCATCTAAATAAACAATATTTCGTTTCATTTTTCGATACTCAGTTATCTGTCTGATATAATTGTTTCTTAAAGAAATTATTCTAGTACTTTCCATTAATGTCTGTCTCTTGTCTATAGTTTTGTACTTGAAATATTGGCTTTAAGAAATAATCGAAGTGTTGTTGCTGAACACGAGAGAATGCACTTTCGAACTAATTCACTTCGAAGGCTTTCAATAGTTGGAAAAATATTAGCCGCATACATTTGGTATATTGTTCTAGTTATAGATTCAATTAAGTGCGGTTCTATTTTTCTGAATTTGTCACAATCCTTTCTCTTCTGTCTAGAAGATGTTTCTCCTATAATTTTGTAGTGGGTTGCTTTGGGCACTCTGGTTAAAAAACATGTTTCTGCAATTGCCTCTGAATTAGACAATTCAGCACACAGTCTTTCATAAACATTTTTTAGCATACGTTTGGCATCATCAGAAAGGTAATGAAAATGTCACTTACGTTTTACTACACGCCTTTGTAAATCTTCCAATCGATTAGAGGATTCCATTGTCTCTTCAGCTACATAATTATTATCGCACCACGGACGCAATATTTTTAAAATTATCAAACGTATAAAAACATAATCACGTAAAAACGTATCAAAAAAAGTAAAAAAACGTAAAATATAAAATGTTTTCCGTATAAAGAACACTGAAAAAAGTCACTACCAAACTAACTTGCGGTTCACTATTTGAAATTTGAATTTAACTGAATGCTGTAGCAGTTTTGATTTTACTAAAAATATTTTTGTCTCCCAAAAATCTGTTGGTCATCTCCGCAATTTAAAAATAAAATATTATAAAAATTTGCCTATCTAAGTTTTTCCCGTTCCGTGCCTTCGGCACTGGACGGTCGAAACCTGATCCCTTATTTTATGACTCCGTAAGCTCAGTCAAATACTGATATAATCTTACCCCAAGTATGAGTAAGTCTACCGACAAAAGATAATGCATTATAATTTGTCATAACAGCGATATCCGATGTTTTCATTGGCCGTTAGTCCACGTGGACTTGTCATAAGTTCGATGAAAACTTAATTGGTTGATTGTTCATATCTGGTTCATATTTTAAAAGATTATACCAGGTACGTCTGAATGTTAATATCGAGTGGAATCTGGAAACTTTGTATTATTATACGTCTGAGTCATTGAGTCAATTTTACAGACTCCTGGTAGAGTACATTTTTGTTGAATGATTTTATTACAGATACATATATTTTTGCACAGTCTCACGGAAATACGAGGCTACTATACGTCTGGTCCCAACTATTGTATGGGCTAAAAACATGGACGTTAAAAATGCAAATAGTTAAGAAGCTTGAAGCCTTTGAACTTTGGATATACCGGAGAATATTGAGAATTCCATGGACTTCCAGGGTCACCAATGAGTACCTTGGGCACATACTCAAGGAATGATAAATATAGTCTTCTGCAGGTCATCATGCAGGGTAGAGTCGATGGCAAAACAGGAATAGGTAGAAAGAGGAAGTCATGGCTAGAAAAAAGAATTAGTTGATGAAATAGGAGAAAAGAAACAAAAAACAGTAACACTTAAACTACATTATTTATTTCACTCTAAAATACCCACGATAATAACTAAGATCAATTATATTAACTCTAGAAGATATTATATATTTAAAGTACAGGCTTTTCATTTACACTATCATAACATTAAGTAACCAAATAAATATCTCTACATATAATAACAGTGCACGACAGAATATGATTCTGTACGAATTATAGAGTGATTCAACGGCAGCTGATAGTTTAACACTAATCAACTGTCATTAAAGCACTCTTATTTAACATGTATACCCAAAATAAAAATCACATTGCAAAAGTGATTAAAAGTTAAAACATTTTTTTTTAATTTATTTATGAGAACTAGCTAAAAATTGGAGCAAATTGGGTGATATACAAAACCCCAAAAAGTGAATTAAATTTTGAAGATGTTAGATCTAGTTTTCGTTTTGTGGGACGACAGCAACATTCTTAGTGGGTGACTCAACTTTTAGGTCTTGCTCGTTCTCCTTCTTTAGCTCATCAGCTTCAACTACGGGTTCTACTGCTTCAGCCTTATCAACTTCTGCTTTTAATTCAGACTCTTCGGGTTGTTGGGACACGGGAGATTCTGGTACTACAGCAGGTGATACTTCAGCACTAGTTTCGATTACGGGCGTGACGTTGACAGCTTCGGCGGAGGTGCTAGGTTCCTATAATAAAAAAAATACAATTATTAAAAATTGCAACTCTATACACGTCGGAAGCTAAAGACATGAACATGTACTATTTAACATTGTATTTGATGCCTATCTTTTAACTGGGGCAGGCACAATTATATATTATATTGGCAACAGTGCTACGCTAATCCACGTTCCAACGTTTCGAATAATATATATAATATATATATATATATATATATATATATATATATATATATATAATATATATATATATATATATTGTATGTTTTGTTCTTCGATTATAAATATATTTAAATTAAAAAAGATTTATATAAACTTACCTGGTTTTCTGTAGAATTCTGTATAATCCTAAATCTGTTTGGCGTCTCCTGTACGACTTGTGTAGTGCAAGGATATGGTGGCGGTTGTTCGTCCATAACATCTTGATATGATGGTGGTGGAGTCTGTTTCAAAACACCAAAGACAGCCTCTTGATCGCGGAACAGATTAGGGTAATCTGGATCGGTGATACCACGGTGGTCCGATTCAGGAATGATGTATCGAATGGCGTTCCGATTGGTTTGTTGGCGGAAGGTTAGGTACTTGTAACATCTCCAAACTACACTAATCCAGTATGCCTAAGAATGATAAAGTTTATATTCATGTGTTAATGTTTGCATAAAACATGTAATTTTTATTTACAACTAATATTAAGAATACACACAACTCTACACAATAGATGACCATTAGTGAATGACGTGTTAAGTGTAGAGTATATGTTTAATAATAGTAATAATCCCTAGCCCAGCTACTGAACTCTACGGACTCAGGTTTAGCATCATAAATAACAATACTGTAGTGGCGAAGTTTAACCATCCGTTGTATATGGATGTTTTGCAATAAATAGCTTCCACTCGAAGATCAGATGCTAAAAATTGTAGAAACATTCTCTATTTATAATAGTATGACCTTCGTATTAGACGAGTTCTAATTACAGTAAAAGGAATGGTCCGATCTGAAGGATTCGATATGCAAAATGGCCAAAACATCTAACTAACTAGGCTAACTTAAAAGTTCACGTGAAGGGTAAAACAGTAGCGGTATTCACATAATCACACTACCTTCAGCGAAAAGTACGAACACTTCTCACAAAGGCAGAAAAACATCATCCTCGTATCGCAGTAGAAAGAACGGCATTACCATCTATCAGTATTTAATGTGAGGAGGACTCATGGATTAGGCAAGCAATTAGAAACACAGATCGTTATTTTCAGAAGGAGGCTGAGAGACCTACTTTACATGGCGCAATCTGGCACGGTTTTCATACTTGCTATTCAGGATCAGGTTATTCCAATCTTACTGAGGCCTGCTAAGCAACTGAATATAAGGAACGCCATGACTCAGTATCCTTCATCAAGAGATAGTTAATAAACTGGGACTCCTTCAATCCAATCATCTCCCAAATTATCAACACGTCCCTAGAGTGTGCTTGTGAATAACAACTACAAGCTATACTGGTACCGCACTGTGTTGACAGACCAACGACTGGGCACATACTAGACCAGATCTCATACTAGTTAATAAATTAAGTAGACAAACAACACTAATTGATGTGGCGATACGTAACAACAATAATCAGCATGTTAAATACAACAAAAAAAATCGCCAAGTACTGAGATCCTGAGTACAGAAAGTACTATATCCTCTACTCTGGTGGAACCATAACCTCTGAACCATCCAAAATACTATAAAACATAAGTGTGCGTGAACATATTTGAGATTATGCAGAAAGCTGTACTACTCTCGACGACCAGATGCGTATAAAAATTTTTGGAATATCTAATCCTGCCTTCTAACTTTGTACAAATTGGTTCACATCCTGTATAGCCCAGCGTATTTGTCAACACTGTTCTCTAAATAATATCATACAGCCTCAATAGAAAGAATGCACTAAGGGTTCCATGGGCTGCAAAGAACAACTTATTATTGACACAGTCATTTCCAACCAGGCTTAAACCAAAACGGAACCTTTTTACCGCTTTCATTGACTACAAGAAGACCTTTGAATTGGTACCGGTTAATACATTGAAAATTATATATTAAAAATATATAAAGTCGATGATATATAGTGTCCTATTTAAAGTATATAATGACGGAGTGGAAGATTAAAATTCACCTTCAATACCGGTAAAACAACATCGAAACTAAAGATATCCCAATTACCGGGCATTTTCCAGGGGGACTCGTTGAGTCCACTTTGGTTGTGTTTGGCGATGAACCCACTATCTCAGCTACTGAACTCCTGACTCAGGTTTTAGTGTCAAAAATAACAATACTGTTTCGGCGAAGCTTAATCATCTGTTGTATATGTTGATTGAAATTAACGGCTTCACTCGAACCACTAGATCAAATACTAAAAAGTTTACAAACTTTCTCCAAATGTAGACTAGACAAGTGCAGTATACTAAATATAATCAGAGAAAGTTCAGCCCGAGGTTTCGATATGCAAGATGGCCAAAACATCGAGGCAATGGGTGAAAATGAATGTACAAATATCTCGGAGTAAAGCAAGCGTAGAATATTGACCATAAACAAATGAAAACCGAACTAAATTCCGAGTTCGTACGAAGAGTAAGACAACTAAATCGGTCATATATATGAACAGAAAAAATTTGTTTCAGACATTAAATACATACGCCTGTTCCGCGCTGAGCTACTCATTTGGTATTATAAAGTGGTCAAAAACAGATATAGAGAGTCTTCAGCGGAAAGTAAGAACACTTCTCACAAAGGCGCAAAAACACCATCCACGCAGTGCAGTATAAAGAACAACATTATTGCGATATCAAGGGGGAAGAGGACTTATGGACATAGGTGAGTAACTGGATAAACAGGTTGCTAATTTAAGATCTTATTTTCGGGTGAAGGCTGAGACATCTACTTTCCATCGAATTTGCACAGCAGATGATACAACGGTGGCTTAAAGTGACGGAACAAGAATGCGCATAAATCACCTGACTAAGCAAGAAAAAAATGCGCACCATGGAATTTTTGATTTCGGATTTAGATCTTCAGTAAGTTCTATGCAATCCTGAAATCCTACTTATGTGCCAGATATTTATCAGTTACGTATGCATCGGAAGGTTCAAACATATATCTAAGTAAATTAGGAGTCCAGGAGTACCGAAAAGCCAGGGTGCTATCACCAATTTTCTATCAGCTAATTCACAACAGATTTACCAACCTCAAAAACCGCAATAACAGCGATCTTCGCAGATGATAGTGCAGTATTTGATCCATCATGATCCAGTACCTGCCTCAATTTACAATAAATTTCAAGAAGTTTACAAGCTTGCCTCAATAAAATCCATGGCAAGAAAATGGAAAGTTGGAATGGAAGTCACTTGTGACTTCAGCTCTTATAGATGGAATTTGAAGATCCTTTTGTACTTTGAACTTATAAACTTAAATTACGTCAACTCTTCAGATGAAAGTAAGAATACTTTTCACAAAGGTACAGAAACATTATCCTAGAAATGCGATAGAAAAAAGAAAAAACATTACTGCGGTACCTAGGAGAAAGGGAACAATGGATTTAAGAGAACAATTAAAAAACAGGTTTCTAATTTAAGAACGTATTTGCAGAAGCGACAAGAAATGCTCACAAACCTTAAACCACGTAGGAAGGAAGACAAAGGATGCTGTTTGTTCAGATTCGATACTAGTTACTGAAACAATATTAGATATGGAAGATTGGGTAGACAATTTGCTTTCTACTACTATTTTTCTTTTTAAATTAGATTTTAAATCGTTTTGTTGTTCTACTTTATTTTCTAAATAGTTTTGTTGTTTTGTCTATTTTGTTTTATAAATCGATTTTTATATTGTTCTGATATTCTAGTTTGACTTTTTATAATTTTCATGAATTTGAGATAAACGATTTATGATTTCTACCTCTACTTTCCTACGCATCTTCCTCCTTTTTCTTTTCGTCTTCTTGTCTACGCTTCTTTACCTCTTCCTCCTCTTGTCTACGCTTTCCCTCTCAGCTCTTGCTCACGCTTCCTCCTCAGCTTTTGCTCTTCTTGACCTTTTTTTGTTCCTTTTGCTTTTCCATTTTTAAAAACCATGCCGGGGTTTCACATCTATCCATTTCTTACAATATTTGTTAACAACTCTAACTGAATGACAGAACTATTCAAACACTTAAGTATTAATATTTCTTGAAGTGTCAACCTCCTGTTTTTACGAGGTTAATAATACGAGGTAATACTTACCTTCCATAACATTGAAAATAAGAAGGCCAATAATACAATGAGCGTCAAAACTTGCGGACTCAACTGAAGTAGTTCTTGGCGCAAAGGAAGGTTCCAGTTTTCTGCGATAAGGCGATGAGCAGATCTCAAATAGCAAAAGTATCCAGTTGCAGTTAGACTGAAATATAAAATAATCTATTAAACGGTTCTCTTACGCAACAAAAAAAATCAGTGTTACTTACGCTGTAATGGCAAAATCAAAAAGTTGTAAGCAGAAGAATGGCAGGACATGTGTCGGTTTTCCTTTAATTGTTCCGTAGACCATAAGAAGGGTAATGGATAACGTACAAACCGTCATTAGAGCGCCCATGTCGATGTCAGCTAGAAAATAAACGTAATGTTCAAAGAATACACAGAAAAATTATCTCAAAATAAAACAAGTTAAAGCAATTACAATACACACATATAAAGTTAAAAGAAAGTTGAAAGTGACGTAAAAATTTAGCAACCCAAATAATTTATTTGAAGATAAACTTATTCTACGGTCGCGAAAAAATTCAAGTTTTAAATTGAATTATTAAACATACGGACATAATACTGATAGAAAAGGGATAATAATATAATAAAAATAATAATAAACAAAGTTTTCTCTATTATAGTAAAAATTATAGTGAAATGATGACATCACCTGAGGTGAAATGTTCCGAAAGCAAACTGATACTTGTTCGGATTTCCAAGTGACTACTAGTTCAGTCCATTATAGGTTAAGAAAAGACAGGGATAGACTCTTGGAATCTTGGAAGTCTTACAGGGAAGAGTATGGAGTTGTAGATTCACTTAAAACAAGGAGAGTACAAATTGCTTGCATTCAAGAGACGGGGGAAAGGACAAAGGACGAAAGAACTAGGTGAATGATAAAAATTGTGGTATGTAGAGAGAAGCAACATTGGGAATAAAGTTAGTATAATTGCTGATAGAGAGAACTCCACCTCTGGTAGTTGTTGGGTGAATTAATTAGCTCTGTAACTATCAGTGCTCGTCCCAAGCCCGGATAAAGAAGGAGGAGCAGGATAATACCTGCACAAAAAAGAACAACGAAGCGATGTCGTTGGAGTATGCAAGAGTGATACACGCTCAAAATCACGTAAAGCCAATACATATTATTTTATAAATCGTCCAAAGCCTTTATGTTTTATAGACAACGTTATTTTTTTATTAAATAAAAAATATATATTTAATAAATATTTCTTTATAAATGTATAAGTCAGTGACGTATGAAATATATTAAAGCATAAACCTTTTTTGCATTGGCGCATGCGTAGTATCATTTGGTAGTTATTAGTAGATTTTAGACCAGGTTGTTGGTAGGTTCTCTAAAAAATATATGGTCACTCTGCCTCTCATTTTACAATGGGTTTGAACTAACGACCAGTGATAACGACTAGGTACTGAGTTTGTGGTTTCTGGTTTGTACAACCGGGATAAAATACCAAACAAACCGGGACGCCGGGACCGATGTCTAAAACCGGGACTATCCCGATTAAACCGAGACGTATGATAAGCCTACATATGAACAGCTATGATGTACGGAATGAATATTGGGTAGTTAAAAAGAAAATTTGGTATATCACTTAAAGATAGAAAACGTAACCAGTGGATCAGAACCAGAACAAAGACAGTAGACGCGATAGAACAAGCAGCAAAACTGAAATGGAAATGGGCTGGACACAATGAACGTCTCCAAGACGGACGATGAAACAATGCCATCGGAAAGTGGCGTCCATACAACGCAAAGAGATCAAGAGGCAGACCACAGATGAGGTGGAAAGATGACATCAGGAAACAAAGGCGGTCCCACATGGCAGAGAATAGCTCAAGATAGGGAAAGATGGAGAGAACTGGGGGAGACCTATATCCAATAATGGAAGGATAGAGAATAGGTTAAAAAAAATGGTCGTAAATGTAAAGAGAGAAAAAAACTTTAAAAATTTACATATCTAGGCTCGTTAGTCACCTCAAAGATAATATTAATGAACAGATCAAAAGAAGAATACACATCGCAAATAATACATACAACGGACTTGTCAAATTCTTAAGATCTGACAACTTGTTCTTGTTAACAAGAAAACAAAATCTAAAATTTACAAGAAATTGATCAGACCAGTCCTAACATATGGATTCGAACGAAAAATTTTAAGACATATACAAGGGAGTGCGAGAAAACAATGTATGGCGAAGACGATATGACTATGAATTATACAATACATATAAAGAACATTACCACGTTTATAAAAAATTTAAGACTGCGCTGAATGGGTCATGTAGAACGTATGCAGAAAGATCTAGCCCCCAAGAAAATCATAAAACAGGCATCAAAGGGAAGAATACCAAAAGGAAGATCCAGGCTTACATATCTGAAGCGAGTAGAACAAGACATGGAAACATTAAAAATCAATTAATGCCAAAAAGAGGAAACATACGTTAAGATGATTAGGGCAAGTTTAACTTTGAACTGCTGATCACTCAATATGAATAATCACTGATCTGCTAGACCAAAGAATACCATTTTAATATAAGATAAATTTTATATTAAATACAATAACTATTGAAAAAAGTTAATTTTAACCACTGCCACAATCCAGTCTGTCGTCCACAAAGCGATAGTGGTAAATCGTTTTCGTTTAAGGCCATCAAAATATGTGGCGCTTTTTGCAGCTTACCACTCGAGATGTGCAAAATAGCAGAACAATTCGCTGGTTTTCCGTGTGGGAGTTTGTATATGCCCGTCTGTCTGAAGACGTATTCTGTCCGGCAAGCGGAGATAAGAATACTTCCGGGACCAGATATCCATGCCTGTCATAAGAGGCGACCAATGGGAAGGAATGGGAGGTGGAGAGCCGTCGTTTGAGGTGTCGGGTTTGTAAAAATTAACAATATTTGAATTGTCACACACATACACACGTTTTTAGAGGATGTCATTTCACTTTATTTCTACTTGATTTTCGTCTTCGACTGCAACAGACACTTTGTACTAAAAGTAATAAACCTTATAATATTTATATCGTTGTCTAGTATGATAATGTTGTGACTTACATGTATATATTTTGCGGCTATCCTGAGTTGTAGGCAAATAGTAGGGATTGTCATCATCTTTTTTGCTTAAAGGGGTAGGCAAGAAATCAGTTTGTAGGTCTTCGTTCTTTTGGAGAATCACATGATGATTTCGCATCATCAGCGCAAGTACAGTCAGAGCCAAAATATGAAGTACCTGAAAGGGTTAAAATACAATATAGTCTATTAATCAATCACTAAAACCTTGCATATCTCGTTTGGATAAGCATTTTATAAATGCCAATTAAAAAAGCGTTGAAATCAAATGGATATCCGAAGATGTTTTTACACATCAGCTAAGTATTAAAAAGAAAAAAAGCTAGAATTAAAAAATTTAATCTTTTGCAAAATCGTTTTCGTTCATGGCAATCAATAGATCTAAGTAAATGGCACCTCTGTACACTAACCAATGAAGTGAGAAATATTTAGGAGATATTCGTTGGACTTTCCGAGTTTGAACTTGTATCAGCCTGAGTGTTGTTAAAACAAAAGAAATTATAGGAAGTTCAGTAGCGAATATTCCCTCTTTTGGCAGTGATAACAGCTTGCAAACGACGAGGCATGCTTTGGATCAGATTTTGGATCACATTCTGCGAAATATTGTTTCATTTCTGCACCAACATTCGCGAAGCTCTCTTAAATATCTGATATCTCGTGAAGATACTCAGTTACTATCCGAGCAGTGTTGGGCCGTGTATTATCATGCATACATGTTGCGTCGTCTACAAGAATAACCATAAACTGTAAAACATGATCTTCTAGAACCTGTGCTAGGTACCTAGGCGCAGTCAATATCCCATTCTCGATAAAAACCAACTCCGTGAGAGCGTCAAGCGATATGCCTCTTCATGTCATGCCCATGTCTGCCAAACGGAAGTCGCTCGGCAACACATGATTGGGCATTAAGAAGCTAAGCTACCTGAGGAAAGGAATGCCAAACGTTTAGCAGTTTTCAAACAAGAAAGTCTCCTCAGGTAGCTTAGCTTCCTCTGTGGATGTTAGTTTTTGCTCTGGAACCCTCGGAGTCTTCTAACATTATTGCCACAAATTGGTCGCACTGCTCCTGTAGTGATCCTTTTCCAAGTTAATATGCTCCTTTTCTAACTTGGCTGCACCGTACTGAAGACGACCAATAGTCAGAAATACTTAAATACGGTTGCCTTCCATCTTCTACACATATTTTATTATATTGTTTTCCCTTGTTGCGAGCTGTGCCGATACCTTTTACCTTTATTTTACTATCAACTCGTATTAACCTTTCCTTATATATATATATATATATATATATATATATATATATAATATATATATATATATATATATATATATATATATATATATATATATATAATAACCAAACCGTTGAGCTTCTCTGTTGTATAAGACTGACTTGGGCAACTTTCGACAAGTTGAACCACATTTTCAAATCGTCGACATACCAATATGTAAAGAAAAGCCTTTAAACAGTGTGTTTTGCCAGTGTCGACTGAAGGAGTCGAAACGTCGACTATGACAAGGAGAACAGTAAAAAAGTTCCGTGTGGCTCAAAGAGCGATGAACTGTGCTATGTTGGCGTTTCACTGCGAGACAAGATCCCAAGCCGCTTGCTACAACGAAGATCAGTAGTGGCTGATGCTGTAGAGAGAATAGCAACACTAAAGTGCAACTGGGCAGGTCGCGTGGCTCGAATGACAGATAACAGATGGACCAAGCGGACACTGGAATGGAGACCAAGGGATGATGCCTACCGAAGCGGAGGTCGTCCACCAACACGTTAAACTGACAATCTAAAACGTTGCCATAGGAATTGGATGCAATATACACAAGATACAAACAGATGGAAATTATGAGGGAGATCTATGTCCAGCAGTGGACAAGCGAAGATCGATTGACTGTTATTCGCGCGATCCGTCGTTACAGAGGTTTCAGTCGTTGGTCTTTTTTTTTCATACTTCTTCGCAATCCAACGCTCCGGCGTAGCCCGCGATAAGAAACCTATGCTTCCAAAAATGTGTACCAGTTTTATTTATATGATGCATCCTTAAAATATAAAACCACAGGAAGGATCATAAAATATGTGATTAGGTGATGAAAATGACCTGCTTACTCTACCTTTTATGACTCATATTTAAGGTGCTTAGGTGACAAGAACATATTTTATATAGATGACATAAATGAAAAAGAGGTGACAGCACAAGCAACTTCCGTCGCGGCATCAGATATCAGCCTTGAAATGTATGCCGCTTCCTATGACTAGTGTCTAGAGCCTGACCCACTATTCTGTGCAGACTTGCGCAGTTCATTTGTATTCATAATTACATATTTTATTCATTTGTATTCAATACATTTGTATTCATAATTCAATATACCTGGTGTTCCATCTGAAATAATAAAGTTGGCATCAGTATTTACATGACATCACACTCTGTATAACACATTTTTATTGGAAACATATGCGCAACAAAAACTATTAAAAAAACCAGAGCTTTTCGAGGAACTATTCATTATTTAATAAATAATTTTTATATAACTGTGCAAAATATTTTTTTTCTAAACGGGGAAATTATTCATTTATATATATTACAAAGAAAACGTATCTAAAACGTTTTTGAGCAAGCCAAAAAAGTCACATTATAAGGCATGAATGAATCAAATATGTAGCACCTTTTTTGTAGATGTAATATTCAAAAACAAACTAAAAAGTTACTTTTATAAAGAGAGATCTGTATAGCTGTGGCTATGCTGGACTTAAATAAAACAACGATTAGATAGGAAAAAAATCACAAATTCGTGATATGTATGTAATATGTAAACTTTTTCGTTTATTGTTAGGCTTGGTTTTGGATAAGATAGATCTAAATGTGTTTGTTGTTTTAAATATTGTTGAAACATTGAATTTACTTTCTATCCTTTTAAGTTTTTTTGATAATCCTTTTATATATGGTATTGTTATTTTCCTCGAATTTTGTCGTGTGAACCTAGCAGGATTCCTTTCTGTTATTTTGTTCCATTTCCTTTACTCTGGAAAATTCCTTACTTTTAAACGACATCGGATAATCATTTTTTACTAAAATATATGTTAATAATTATTTTTCTTTCAAAAACGAATTTTCATTAGAACTGACAATTTTAGCTCTATCAGATAATGATTTAATGAGTCCCTTTAAAATTATTTATTAAATGATGAATAGTTCCTCGAAAAGCTCTGGTTTTTTTAATATTTTTTGTTGCGCATATGTTTCCAATAAAAATGTGTTATACAGAGTGTGATGTCATATAAATGAATAATTTTCCCGTATAAATACTGATGCCAACTTTATTATTTTAGATGGAACACCAGGTATATTATTTAGTTATTGGATCCCATACAAAATACAAAGAACTTTATCAATATATTGGATAGCCATGCTTTTATTAACTGTTTTTAATATACAATGTATTAAAGGCACAATCTCTTCTATATTAACTTTTAAATATATAGCCTTTAAGATATCTACTTATGTACATTCCATTTCACACCTGGTAAAAATATAGGCAGGTTTCATTTATTTGACATAATATCTATTTTAAAAGAATATAGGTACATATCTTAGAGTACTATATACATTATTAAAAACAAGTTGAGATACGAAAATGAACTCACTCTTCTTTATTGAAATTAGGTATAGAACCTTTTAAAGTCATAAAAAGACACGCAGAGAGTGATCTATTCATTAACCACCCTATATCCTAAAATAAGTTAATTAAAACTATAACATGCAATATATCAAAGTTCTGGGAATTTTGTGCATAATCCAAAAATTTTATAATATAACCAATGTTTCATTTAAAATAAGAAAGTTGGTATCATAGTAATTGATATATAACATCAGTCAACATCCTGTATATAAAATAACAAATTTTTATTGGAAAAATGCGCAAAAAGTAGTTTTTAAAATACTTTTTAAAACTATTTTAAAAAACCTTTAATTTTGATTTGCTATTATTTACTATTAATTTTAGAGTTATTCTTATAATAGATGGGTTGAAGTAATTATATTATTAATTTATAAAAAAAATATTCGCAACCAACAATACACATAAACCTCATTGTCACATTCAGATGTGGATACAACTGAACTGCGCAAGTCTGCACAGAATAGTGGGTCAGGCTCTAGACACTAGTCTTCCTATGGTTGTATATTTTAAGAACGAACCTAATAGCCTCATCCTTATCGAACCTTATCGAACGAAGAAAATTTATTTAATAACCAAATATATTATTTTGAAAACAATAATTAGGAAATTAATGTCAAATACTTACCAAATGCCATATCCCAAATAGGATAGTAGCTGTTCGAACATGCAAACAAAAGCAAGATGTCCATTCTTTATTTCTATCTGAACCCAATTTCAGCCGCATCGTAAACATTTCCTTATCTGTAAAATACCCAGTTAAATAAACCATCAAAAACGGATGTCACATTTGATAAATACAATTATTTGTAGATAATAATAAATAATAGACAATAAAGTTTAGTTTATACATCAAAGATATGATTTATTTTATATATTATTTTCATCTACTTATATTATACAACAAAAAAAGACTCTATCCAGATTATATCAAAGTATTTTCCACCTAAGAAGACCGCTTTGCAATTAAATGCTGGTAACTTTATTACTAGCGGACCAGATAAACGGCGATATATTTTACACTACCTTTATGAATAACATTTACTCTCTGTTGTTTGAATCGTATGCTTATCGTATACTTATCCTATATGTTTAGTATTTACCCAATAATGAAAGTTATTCCTTTAACAAGAACATTTATTTATTCTGAATAATAAGGAGTACCATGTGTCAAGTTATACTTGTACATCTCCTTTAAACACACTTTAAAAATTTGTTTAGTAATGTATTTCTTAAATCCACACAATCATTGAAAAATGATTCATGCTATTTAAAAACATCTTTCTGTTAACGACACTGTTATCGACAAAGTAGATCAAATTCAAACTTGTCATCATATTACACTTCTGTTTATCGTTAAAAATTACTTAATGATCGTGGGTTGTATTGGTGTTATTTAATAATTTAGCAAAATACATAATCAGCAAAAATCTTATTTAAAACATGCGAACGGTTTTTGCAATCACAATCAATGCAGTGTTTATGCTTGTTTAGCATTCGCTGTTAAATAATTTGTGTTCGATTGTTTCGTCTGTTGTACAACCCTCGTCCTTTTTAGGGTGTAGTAGTTGTATATAAGTACTTATTTTTTTATAAATTAATTTGTAGTAGTAAAATTAGACGGGAAAATATTAAGAAATCATGGAAATAACTAAATAAATACACTGGAACTTGAATAATTCGAATAATTGTAATTCGTCAAGTAATCTATAACTCGAATTTATTTTGGTTAATTAGAATTAAATCCTACGGATCTTATTCGGAATCCAGTATGCACTTGACGACTGAACAGATTTTGAGCTGTGCTTTCTAGGTTATGTTTATGTTGCCATTTTGATAACCAGCTATCTAACCCTCTCTTTGGTTAGTCTCCTTCTTGATGGCCTTCCATATCTTATGTATTATAGCATAGTTTCTTATTCGTTCCCATATAGTTTTGCAAACTCCCCTTTTTCTTTTCAATCCCAGATCCTTTTTTAAAGTTATACTTCTATACACACGGTCGGCGTTGGAAATTTGCATGAGAGTGAATCTGTGAAACCATTACATATGTAAGATAATGAGTAAGAGAGAGACAGAAGATATATTTTCTCTCTCTTCCTCTGCCGAGAATAAAAATGTTCCTTTTGTATATATATTTAATATTATATATATATATATATATATATATATATATATATATATATATATATATATATTAATATTATTATTTATGAGATATGTTCTTTTGTATTTCAAAAAATCACTCTTTGACCGAGAACTGTCAGTTTTGAAATCCGTTAATGTGATGTCTAATTGGCAAATCTTTTACGTCTTTGGTTCATACGCTGGAGTTCGTGAGTTCGAATCCCAATATAAATTTCCCTTTTTATTTTTGAAATATTTAAAAACCTCACATTAACCTTATTAAATATATTAATATACGCAAAAATGCTAAATTTTAAAATAAAAAACCATTGTTTTTCACTAGTTTTGTTTTGAATACTTTTGTAATAGAGTCCTGTATTACTGGATTTAAATGCCTTGTTTCATTTTTTTAACTACCTTTTTTTCGTGATATGATTCCACATCCTCTTTGACATACTTGTATTTAGTTATCTTAGTTTTCTGTGTTCCTTGTTTTGCTAGTATGAGTCTACTTTTTCGTTTTGTTTTATACTAAATACAATGTGCTTTCACCCAGGCCAATATTCTTTTTATGCCATTTTTTTCTTTGTTCAAAGTCGACATTTTTTCTATTAAGCTTTACTATCTGAGAAAATTACATATATTAATTTCTTATATTTTGAAATTTAAAATATATTTACGAGCTTCCAATATTGCTATTAATTCTGTAGAGTAAACAAATATCTTGTTATTTAATTAAACTGTATTATAAATATTGTTATCAGGTGAAAAAAACTCAAAAGCAACACCGCCTGCGGTTTTGGAGAAGTCTGCGAAAATGTGAGAATGGTGTGGGAATGAATCAATTATCTATATTGTTATCAAATATTTCCTGTCCGATTTGATTAGACATTAACGAGTGGTTTTTTAATAAATAACATTTTGTTTCATGCAATTTATGTATATCTGCCATATATAATGTGACGACATTACTTATAAACGTTTCCTCTGTTGAAGGTTGGATGATTGAATTTGCTGTAATTAATGCGGGCGATCTTTTGTGCTCCAATACTCTTGAGTTAAATCCATTAAATACAATATTTGGATTTTTTGTATTAGATGTGTGTCTTTTTTTAACATTTTACTTAGATATTTTACTATAATGAAGCCAAATATATATGAGTAGAAATAGACGAAGGTTTAACATACACAAACCACGTGATGACCACCAACACCGAGTCAAAGAACGCCCATACATAAGTGAATTAACTAATACGTAAAAGAAGCAAACTAAATTTCAAGATGGGAATTTTTAATAAATAAGTCTCGTCTTTGTCGGATCGGTACTAACCTGAAGTACCGCAGTTGTTCTGATATACTTAGTGATTCTTCAAAAAGTCTAAGAAGACGACTTTACTTAGTAACAAGGTATTTACTCAACACATACTACAGGCTGTACATGTGACTGGCTGCATGACTAATAGTCCACGCCAGAAAATAAAAAAAAAGAAAATGAGATTAATCAATAGCATCATACTTCCGTTATTGGCGTATGTATAATTTTTTTATCGGCAAATCATACAGGAAGAAGGCGCAACTGGTCCAGAACAGATTATAAGAAAAGCAGCAAATCTGCAGCGATTTGTAAACAGGAACACAAAAAAAACGGAGTATTAAGAAGAAGGGATGCCGACAGAATATTCAAGGGTCTGACTAGCCATCCAAGAAAAAGCTGGCAAGATATTCACGGATCTGGCTAACCATCCAGACCAACCTCTGAGGGAGCTAATAGATATGATGAAAACGACAGGTGGAGGAACGTCAAACCAAACAATACAACTGAGAGAAACTTTATTCAAGCATAAAGTTCCACTTAAGGAGCAATTAATATTTAAGTACACTAAGATATAAGATATAATAAATCATTCTTAAAAAAATAAAACCCAAGAAAACAACAAAAAATAGTCACTAAAACCGGCCACAGACAACACAGCCACATACACACAGCCAGATCCTCAAAGCTTTGCTGCAGTCCAGATAACAAAGGTAAGGCTCAAGGATTTCATACACAAACAAGTAGGTAAATGTCAAGTGACCAGAAAACAACAAGAGAAAAGCTCTCCAAGCTACCCTGTGGTTATCAAGAAGGCTAGTATTGCAAGTGTTTCATTTTCAAGGGAGACTACTCTAACGGCATTTGAGTTCTTGAAAAGCCAAAGAAAAAGTTTATAAAAACCAAGGAAAAAGCATAAAATGCCTTTTGAATAATAAATTTCTTGATTCAACATTCATTAAAGGAGAATCAGACGAAGCTTAATGAATCTACATACACATCATCAAAGGATAGAATCGAATGGCTGCCAATCGTTTTAAACCCTAGAAGTCTTCTGGAAATGATGATATCTTACCAGCTTTGCTACAGCAGGGAATGGATATCCTATTACCTCATCTAGCACAAAATATTCAAGATAAGTTTCATCTTAGGCTATATTACAAAAAAAAATAGTTCCAGGTTAGGGACTGCTTTATTTACAAGAGTGACAAACGCCCTCCACAGGAATCCAACTCATACTCCTTTCTTCCAATAGTATGGAAAAAATTCTACTTAAGATAATAAGAAGTGAATACTTATTGAGAATAACTCTTCAAGAAGAACAATTTGCCTATCAACCAGGCAAATTGGACCATAGATGCCTTGTATTGTCTAATCAAATACCTCAAAATAATGATCTCGACAAAAGAAGAGTGTAGTTCAAAGACATAGAGGAGGCATTTGACATCACCTCATTAAAGTTTATTAACGTTGCCACAACAGAAAAAAGTATACCACTTTCTATCATTAATGGATTCAATCCATGCTCAGTACTAAGAATATAACTACATACCTAGATCAGTTGTCTACTATAAAAGCAGTAAAAGGTTGTCCTCAAGAAACAGACCTATCACCTGTACTGTATAGTTGTTGACGATCAAAAGGGAATTTCGTGCTATGGCTCTGCAGATTATCTACTTATATTGTATTATTATAGCGGTTAGAGGTAAACATGACAGTATTATTGCTTATCGCATGCAAGGGCTTATCGCCTTAAACTTAGTAACTACCTTAAGTAGATCCTAATAAAATGATAATTGTTTAATTACCAAATGGGAAGCAATTGACATCAAATAAGAGCATACTTGTTTAATTTACAAATAGGAGGAAATTTACAATTCAACCCTTCGACCATGAATGGAACAATAGTATAATTCTCAGAAGAGATTAAGTACCTCAAGAGATATTCTACATAGAAAACTTATCTGGAATGGTCATTTCGCAAATATCGTCATAAATCAATAAGGGCTATTTGGCCTTCAATAGGCTTTAAGGCAAAACATAGGGTCTAAAACCTAAAATGATCTATTGGCCATATATAACGGTGGTTATACTCATAGTTAATTATGTCGAAAGTGCTTTTAGACTAATATGGACTCAGGGTCTAAAACCTGGCGACCTAACTAGGCATCTAGAGATTTTAAGTCTAAGTTACCACAAAACGAAATTATATATACTAAAACAATTTTTTACTTGGCAACATCGCACTTAACAAAACCCTTAACGATAACTTTTCAACAAAATCATATTCCACTTATCAGTTTTTGCAGAGGCGTACCAAAAAAATTTTAATTATTTATTTAAACACATAAGTAATTAATTAAATCTAAGATCGATATAGTTATTAACCCTTTATAGGTCTTTTAACAGGTATCTTATTCGCTCCGCGCGAAACCATGGTAGATGAAACCAGATTCGACAATATTGGCCACATTAGAAAAAGAGACGATAGTACAAGAATGTAGGATGTGCAAAAGTAATACTAATGTATGTGTTAATAATTTCTTTGTCTTTTCTTAGCCTCTGGAGAATAGTTATGTTACTTGTGTGATGTATATATGAAACTCTCAACCTACGTCGCTAGCACCACATTTCAAATGCCTCCAATCGTTTTATGGCATCTTCTGTAAGGCTCCAACTTTCTACTCCATAGAGGAGAACACTAAAGACGTAACATCTAAGAATTCTTATGCCTATATTGAGAAATAAGTTGCAAAGAATCTTCCTAATGCTGTTGAAAGAGCTTCTGGCTTTTTCAATACAAGTTTTTATTTAGTAGCTGTGATCCCAAGTATCCTTAATATTGCAGCCCAAATAGCATATTATTTACTCTTTCTAACAGTGTATCGTTAATTGTAATTTGGGTGTTTATGGCGGTGTTCTTAATAATGATCATTATTTTTGTCTTCTTGTAATTTAGTTTTAGGTTGTATTTGTTACATGCTTCTACAACGTTATCCATCATCCTTTGGAGCCCCTGTGCACTATCTGCCAGCAACACTGTATCGTCTGCATATCTAATGTTGTTTAGTCGACTATTTAGAGCAATCCCATCTTCTGATTCGTCCAAGGCCTCTCTAAAGATGTTTTCAGAGCATAAGTTAAATAATGCCGGTGACAATATGCAACCCTGTTTAACTCCTTTTTCCACTGTGAAGATCTCAGAGAGTTATAATAATAATAATCTCTGTCATAATACCTACTCAAACTTCATACAAGGTGCAAAAATTAAAGTAAGTTGTGCTCTTAATACACTTGACAACATAAACTACTACTCAATGATTTAACAAAAGTTTTAAATATATTAGATGTAAATGATAATCAGTATTTCCAATTTTTTCAGACATATTATGTAATACTGTGCAATTTGTGTTACATATCCTGTTGACTGACTGAAAAAACAAATCTACTTTTTATTAATGTTCCTAATTCAAACTACTACTGAATCAAATTTTTTCATGTCTTAAGCTTCACATTATGCATGTTGCAGTGTATAAAAAACTATGTGATAAGAAAAAGTCAGTGTACCAATTTCCAAATTTGGAATGCACAATGAATTCCAAATGCACAATGAACAGAGAAAAATATTGCAACAGCTCTCAAGGTGCACAGATGATATGATAAGTTTTATAACAAGAAGAAAAATTAAGAAATTGAACTTGAAGTAAGATTAAATAATGTGCTCCATCAGATAATTGCAGTCTAGTTATAGGTTATGATCAATTATTTTTATATGTACTATGTTACACCTGTTAGGATTAGAAAATAAAAAAATACCCACTTAACACTCTCGCCGCCAAGTGTAACATTAATGTGCACTCTGTATTGACAAACATGTAACATTAATGTACACTTGCAGCGTTTCATGTTAACAAAATAATATAGTTTTGGAGCATGACGAAAAAATTTAAAATATCATTGGCGGCGACAGTGTTAATAATATTATGAAATTGTGTACATTATTAATTTAAAAATCTTACCCAGCAGTCTAGATAAATATTAAAGTTACAATTCTCTTACTGTTACTACAATTTAATTTAAAATACTTAATAATCTCCCTAATGAGCTTCTTGTCTCTTTTTTAAATACTTATGGAAAATACTTTGACCTGGATCACTTAAAAAGTGAGCTTAGAGAATTTGTATTGATATCAATATAAAAGAGGGCAGTGTATTTTAATTTGTGCTGTTTTCTTAGAGTCATCCAAATTGTGCCATTTAATTTTGGCCACTCCTGCTACCAACAGTCATGTAGAAAGATTATTCTCTTTCTGCATTTAAAAAGAAAAATGTATTTGCAAAATTATCTGCGGAGAAGAAATTAACATAAGATAAATGATATGTATATATATATAATATATATATATATATAATATATATATACATATATATATATATATATATATATATATATATATATATATATATATATATATATATATATATATATATATATATATGCTCTTGATATATATGGATGTCCCAAAATTCATGCAAGATTTTAATTTGCCACCATTTGTGTGCAGTAAAATTATTATTTATTCGTCAACAAGCTATTGCCCAATTTAAATACAATTAATTATACAATTATACAATATTATGATACCAAAATATAAAATTTTAGAACCCTAATTTATTACGTGTCATAAATATTTTTTATTAACATGAAGAATTTTTACAATCTGTATCATAATAAGTAAAATTGTTTGACTTTACAATGTTAGAGATATGTTAGGTCCAAAGGCGTAGCTTCCACTACTGTAGGCACTGTCAGGATCAGTTAGATAGGTGCAAGGGATTAAATCGCTTCAATCTCTTCTCTTGTTGGTTGTTGAAAAGATTGTATGCCAGTGTGTTAGGATGCATGTGCAACCTGTTTTGAAACAAAAGATTAAAATCTTTTTAGTTTCATAACATTAGATTTGCTAGCTGATCCCCAGAGCTGATAACCATATGACCAAATGAGTTTTATTATTACTTTGTATATCAGCAGCTTGTCAAACGATAGGTGTGAGTTTTTTCCCAGCATCCAGTAAGCTTTCTGTATACAATTCCTAGTTGTAGAATTTTTGTTCATATATGTTTGATATTTGATATATTTGTTAATTGTTTGTCCAGGTGGATGCCTAGATATTTCATGTCATCCTTTTGGGGTAAAGAGTGCATGTAAGAGTGCTCATTACTTGGTATAACAATATACACACAAAAAAATACAATATACACACAAGTACAAAATAAAAACACAAAGTAAACACATAAAAAAAGACAAAAGTTAATAAAATTTTAAAATTTAGTCCATTACTTATCTATTCATAACATTTTTTAATATCCCTTACACTACAGTTAAAGACGTCTATATCACAGATCTTTATAAGTGCATTACACTGATATTATATAGTTTATTATTGCATAAGAATTATATGGACTACAAGAAAATAGGTCATTACTGTTTACCCTTAGTTTGACCTTCGGCACTTAAAACCTAATAAAGTTGATCAAAACACATGTCTTATATTTAACATTTTTAATAATATTATGAATAAACATAACACAATGCATATTTCTTCTTTGCTCTAATGACTACAAGCAAAACATTTGAAGAAACTCTTTTGATGGTGTTAGGTGTTTATACACATTGTATTTCTTAAGGTATAAATACCTTAGAAATCTTTATTGTACCTTTTCTATTAGGTTATGTATTATTATATTTAGGTTAACTTGTGGACATGTACCTCTTGTTAAAAGAAAATGTAATATGTGTATATTTTGAGGGGTTTACTTTAATGCTCCAGAGTTAAACCATTCATTAGTTTTGTTTATATGTAGTTGCAGTATCTCTGATGCTATTGCTGAATTACTATGAGAGGTTAGGAAAGCAGTATCATCTGCAAATGTTGCATGCGTTAGGTTATTGCTTGTTGGTAAGTCTTGTATAGATCAGGTACATGTGGTATAGATCAGGATTATCATGTGATTAAAGCCATTAAATTTATGTTTATAGAGTTATTATGTATGTTAATTCAAGAAAAAATGAACAATTTAAAGAAAAAAACAGTGTTTTCTATCCAATTCAACTCAAATCTTAATCATATGAATAATAATATTATGTGTAAGCATTAGATGTGTAAATTTTGGGACAACCTTTATCATCTACCACACCTAGTATATTTAGACTCTTAGGGCTATTACTTTTTATCAGATTTTATTGCATTTCTTACAACTTTCTCACACTACATATCTGATCAAAACAACCTTATAAAGTACCAATATTGGGTAATACTACACATATATTTGTTAACAGTAAATATATGAAACCAAAAATAGCAAATTATTGGATTTCTTACTTATTTTCTCACAAATATATCCCTGATAAAAACAACCTTATTAGGTTTTATCATATAGCAATACTGGTTAATACTACACATATTTGTAAATAGCAAATATTATGAAACCAAAAAAGCAAATATATCCATGGCCTAGTGTTTACAATCTCATAATTTAATCTTCATCTTATAAGGACTCAAATGGTGTGATTTCCTCAACAAGTTGCTATTACATAAATATAAACAAAATTGATTTTTATATTGGTGTCAAAATACAAATTAAAAATAAATTGATAAATCCATTTGTACAAATAATATTTATTATTCAGGTACTCAGAATATCAGACTATTAGTTTGTAACATAATCAGCAATAAACAAAATACAATATCAACTAAGTAATAATTATAATGGTTGTTTTATGATCACTATATTTATCTCTACTAGGTATTTGGTTTTTCTGTGCAGATTATGGTGAACAAAATATAAGGTTTACCTAATAATACTTATACATACCCGATCACCAGATACAAATTTGTTTATTTGTAAGAAATTCTAAAAAGAATCAATTATTTGTGTTTTATTTGTATAACCTTTTTACGATTAAAAATAATTTATTATCTGGTGGATTGTTTTCACTTGACAAAACCAGATGTGACCAGATGCCAGATGTCACATTATTCACCATTCACCAATGAGGGACGTTTTCGCGTTGAACAGAAAATAAAAGTGTTCCAACAAAAGAAAGGCAGTGTCTGTCAAATCTCATAAAGGCGCTTAATTTAAAAGTAGGATGAGTAACTAGGTTACTATTTTTTATAGGAAAAGAAGGAATTACTAAAATATGGAATTGAGTTTAAGCTAAATTTAAAAAGCTGCAATTTTTATAATTACAGTAAATTATATTAGTGTTTAAGTAAATTATATTAACTTACAGTAAATATATTACAGTAAATTATATTAAATTAAATACACAATTTTATAACCCTTACTAGATTTGTTTTAAAAGTTTTTCAAACTTTCTTTAGTTAATACTGTATCTTTAATATAGTATATTTTTGTAAAACCATTTTAAACTATTTTGAGACCTCCTTTTCGATGTTTCTTTGTTTTATTTGATATTGTATCAATTTATTTGACTTTCGTGGACATAATTTTAAATTTTTTCGTGGACATAGTTTTAAATATCTTGGTTGCCATATTACTGAACAACTAGTCCAGAGCAAGAGATAAAATGTAGAATCGAGATAGCCCGCACGACATTTTTAAAAATGAGGTCATTCTTCTGTAATGATAACTTGCAACTTTAACTTCGAAAGCGCATGGTTAAATGCCACATTTGGTCAGTCCTCTTATACGGTGTCGAAGCATGGACATTAAAAATATCCACCATTAATCGTCTGGAGGCCTTTGAAATGTGGCTCCACAGACGTATACTAAAAATTCCATGGACGGCTATGCTGACAAATGTGGCAGTCCTTGAGAGAGCAAATGCTGCTCGCGAGCTGCTTGATAACATCAAATGTAGAAAGATGGCCTATTTTGGACACGTAGTAAGGGGAGACCGATATAATATTCTTCAACTTATTATGATGGGTAAAATCGAAGGACGCAGAGGAATTTATAGAAAGCAGGCCTCTTGGTTGAAGAATATCAGGGAGTGAACAGGAATAAAGAAAGCTAAGTAACTCTTTAGAATAGCTCGAGACAGAGATAGTTTCGCCATGTTAATCGCCAACGCCAAGGGGACTTGATAGGGCACGTTTAGAAGAAGAAGGACACAATTTTTCGTTCAATAAATACATCTATAAGCATTTAAACTCATTATTTGTTTTTGTATTCAATTTTATTCATATATTTATTAGAATACTTGCATTTTCATATTTCTAACACTCTAATTTTCGTTCGTCTGTCTTTTGCAACTTTCTTTCATATGAAAATACTATTATAATAATGCTATGCACCTATCTAGTTCTCCATGTCACTTCTCTGCTTCTATAATTTTTAATGTTACATCTACTTCTTCTAAACTTACTTCTTCATTTCTTTTTAGCGCAGTGTTTTTTGGTTCGCTAACTAATTCTTCATTTTCGTTAGAAATCGTTATGAGCCAAAGACTTGTTTAGAACAATCTTGCATTTTTCCGTTTTGAGGAGTTGTTTTCCACTCTTACGATAGATTTTATGTTATCCATGTATCTAAGCTTCGATTTGTCCACCGGTCCTCTTCGACCAAAAAGTTTTTCTGACTGTTGCATCGTCTCGACCCTGAATACATCTAAAACATGCTATCTTAATGAAGTAGCATTGGTTAAACAATAACTTATTTAAAAGAATCGAAGAACCACCAGCCGAAGGCTGGTATATGAAAAACAGATTAAACATTAATGTTCCTTCTCATTATAATTTAGCTTATATTATAGTGGCAGCCGTAGCTCAGTGGCTAGGTTACTGGTTTAACAAGCTGGAGAGCCCGGGTTCGAATCCAGGCACAGACAAAATTTTCCATTTCTGTTTTAACTGAGCTGCCACCGTACTTCGGAGGGCACGTAAAGCCGTCGGTTCCGGCTACGAAAGTAGACGTTAAGTCATTTTAGGGGCGATTGCGCGACCTGAAAACCCTAACACTAGACCTCATAGCCAGAAAGTTACAGTAACACAAATTAAAGAACTTTATCCACTTATTGTACGCAAGAGACATACCTCTAGTAATAATAAAATCAAAACGATCGAAAATATCTACCACAACAACACAATAAAAGTTGGAGTGGAAGAACTAACCGACCCTATTGAAGCTGGCAATGAGATAAGACAAGGATATTTCTTGAGTCCTCTATTGTTTAACCTGATACTGGATGAAATAATAAAAAAAGTAAGAATTAAAAAAAGATATCAAATGGGAGAAAAACAGATGCAAGGTGGAGAACATCAAGAACTGGGTAAGAAATATTAGAATCACTGGCTACAAACTCACTCGCTGATTTTTGAAATGGATCTTCATCGGTAGTCTCTGCTATTCTCATTATTTCTTTTGAAGTCAACTTTTTTTCCAATGGCTACTTCGCACAAAGCAGAACTTTTAGGCTGTTCATGTTCCTTATTTGTATTTTAGTTATGGATAAATAACTAAATAAACAACTAATATTTAGCTAAGCTGTAGTAATCGTCATACATATGCTACAATAAAAATTTTTACTATCCACCCATATGGGTGCATCTCTCCTTTAAAACCAACGTTTTTCTGGTAAAATATATTTCTGTAATATTTTCTTTTTATCTATGCATTAGGTCAAAACGTATCATATTGATCTGTAATATAATTATTGCAAGTAATATTTTTTTTATTTCAACCACAGATATCTTCTTACTAAGTTACTTAATAAATGATTGTTGTCCACCCTTTTGGGCAGACATACGCAATATTTGGAGTTCATGGAAATAACGCCGTTCATGGACACTTAACCTGTTAATTACTGAAATACTCACAGCCTCTGTGGACCTAGCGATGATATCAATGTCATCTGCATCAAAGATTGTTTCATTTGTGTTAACCTGAGAATGTGAAAGCAGTAATTTTTCATTTTCATCTTTAATAAATAATTATGTATTAGAACCTCTATTTTGCTCCATTATTGCTGTTTTTATATGGCACTAAATTTTTTGAATATCCACTCCTTGATTTTCCTCTTTTAGTTATATTCCTTCCTTATATTGTATGGACTTCTTCATACTTTAGCAGGTCTGTATTATATAGTTTCATTCAGTTTTTGTTTTACAAACCTGTAGCAAGAAGTGATCTTGATACATTACACACACACACACACACATATATATATATATATATATATATATATATATATATATATATATATATATATATATATATATAAAATTAAAAAAAAAACAGGGTATATCTCAATTAATTTGTTTAATGTAATACTACAGCCTATATACAATCTTACATATATATATTAAAATTACCACAAAAGATCATAATTTGCATAGCTAATTTTATACAATTCAAACCATTTTGCTATCTTTCCATTGATTAAATACACCGTCTTCAAAAAATCCTCGCTCACCCTTTTAGGGAGCCTTTTTTGGCCCCTTACCCATTCCCTATGTTTTTTTCCAGGAATAAAACATCTCCAAGGGTTTATTCACCTTCCAATATTTGTCATTCACCTGAAAATATTAAACATCTAAAGTAACAAAAATTTAAAATATTTGATTTTGTTTGACTTACCTGACCAAGAGTTTGGTTACCGTTTAACTGCACATACTGGCCGGTGGCTGGAGATATGTAAATGCAAAAATTGAGTAAATTGTGTGTAGTTGACAACTGCGAATCTAAATCAAGTGTAAGACGCATTGCAAGATACTTGTGCAGGTGGTCCACTGTTGCATTTGCAGTTGTTTTGATGTATCTGTAACATAAATTATAAGTCAAGTATGTAATTATGTTAATAACGGAATATTGGAAGAAATTTGACATACCAAAATGCATAGTAAGCATAAAAGACTCATTGCAAGAAGCGAAGCCATATTTATTGAAATCATGCTAAAAAAACTGTGACATGTTCTGACTACGGGAAATGAAGAAGAATCTGTGTAAGTTCAAACTTTAACTTCAAACGTTGCTGAAATTATGAGTGGATTAGGATGAGATGGATTTGAACAGATAGAACCAAGTAACATTCATGAGTTTCTTAAATCTCAAGATAAAGATTTGACTGAAACCGACTTAGAGGCAATGTTAAATCCACAACCCATTGACAAAGAGGCTCTAAGCTCACTGAAAACATGAAATTTAATTTGAAAAAACTTGGTGATGGTTTAAGAATGGCAAATGAGCTTTGTGATTTCTTTATGAAAATTGATCCATCTATGGAACAAAGTCTTATTTTTCAGAGGCAAAATGCTAATGACACTGATGATTATCTGTCTGATTTAAAGGAGTTTTGAAAACTACCAAGCAAGAGAAAATTACTAAATTCTTTAACCCTTTCAATCCTGATTTGTTTATTTTAAAATTTGATATATTTGTCTGTAGTTTGTTGTTCTAGAGCATTTAAAAGAACTAAGAATGTATTTAAAAAATTTATTTTTAATTTTTTTTTTGGTAAAAAATGCATGGGATTATATATCCCAACAGTATTTTTGTATGGGATATATAATCCCAACAGTATACATGAACAATAAATGTTTATACATGATATGGGGTAAAACAATCGTTACATAACGGAACATCACACATTTTACAAATAAATTTGGTATGTTTATCTTTCTTATGTTGTGTACGCCTTATACACCTCAAGCGACTGGATTTTCCTAATATAGGTAAATGGTCGCCAACATTACTCATCACTGTGGCTGACATGCTTCGACGGCCAACATGTTTGGTTTTTTTTCTTCTTTGGAGTCCTTGTCGGCCAGTACTGATAAGACTCTCAGCTAAGTCAACCAGATAATTTAGAAAGGGTATTTTCTTATTTCTGGTATGTAATTCAGTATATAGAATATATGAATTGTATACTGCCATCATTAGAACTTTGTAGTAACCCTTCTTCCACCATTTTTGGGATTTTCTATTGAGATCATACACAGATGTCATTTGATCGCATCTATCTACACCTCCCATGTAACGGTTATAGAATTCAATCGATACAGGACAACAAATGTTGGCTTTTGTACCATCTTTTAGTTTTCTACACACAGTTGTTTCTTCTGGCTTATGGCAGTTAGTTAGTACAATAAAATATTTTGTGTCCTGCCATTGTATAGCTAATGTTCCAGTTTCATTACCTTTTACTTGCGATTCTCCTCGATTTAGCTTGCCATGAAATTTCGGTAAATTTTTTCGGGTACTCATGCATGTACCTACAGCAGGAAACATAATGGTATCCATAAGATGAACTGTTGTAAAAAATCTGCAAGCAAATTACAACATTTTCATTAGAAATTGTTGAAGATAACTGATTTATGACACATTCTCCCAAAGTACCTGCCATCTTATTATCATTTTTGCCTGCATACACATTTATATCGTAAACATAGCCAGTTTCCGAATCGCATCTTGTCCATAACTTTATGCCACGTTTTATGGGTTTGAGGGGCATATACTGTTTCAATGTAGATCGCCCTTTGAATTTTGCCATAGACTCATCAATTGCTTGATAGGTAGAATCACTTCTAGCTCTCATAAAACTTGTCTTCAAGCAGGAAATAACATCATCTATATAATAAGTTTTATTTGCTGTGGTAGGTTGATTGGGCTCCGCAAAATACAATTTTGATAATAGTAGTTGGCACCTATCCCTTGATATTGCACTACGAATACAATCGTTTCCAAGCGATTTATTATTAGACCAGTACATTGCGAAAGAAGGAACTCTATTATAATGCATAACTAACATAACACCAGTAAGTAGCATCATTTCTTTTTGGCACGTTTTGACAAAAGTTTTTTTTCTTTTTTCTTCTAAAATTTCAAGCCTACGGTTTGTACACTGGGCCATATACATAAACAAACTTTTAGGAAATACTTTTAGAAAACAGTCTAATGTAGAACTGCCTCGATTCAATTGATCTGTAATAACTGGGGCTGTTCTGGCTGGTAGATCATATCTCGGAATAAAATTTTCTGCATTGACATCAGTCCAAACAGTGGAAAATTCTGAACTAGTTGGTGGCAAAGGTTGCATTACCTCGTCTGCATCTTGGATATCTTCATCATCATCAGAGGATTCCTGATCTGAAATTTGAGCTGCATTCTCAGTTTCATTACCTATATTCACTTCACTTTCAAGTGAACTTGCCTCACTTAGTTCATCTGATGACAAAATGAAGTCCTTATCCACCATACTATCATCACTACTATAGTCTATACTTTCAATTTCATCAATGTTATTAGCATAGTAATCAAGTTCATCTTCGGTAAGTTTCTGTTTCTTTCGATCCATACTAAAAAAAGGAAGTTGTTTATACCTGTCGGGATAATATTTCCCAGCAAAAACACCTGTTGGGATATATAATCCCATTCAAGATTTATTGCCCATTACGATAAATTTCGTACTGAGCGGCAATATTAAATTATGTACTCACTTATCTTAATCTTTTATAATTAACAATCAGCAACCAAAATTATCCTTACGCCAACAGAAATATGTTATCAACACAGTTTTATATGATCGTACTCACAACGTGTTGATATTACACTAAATTTTAGGTTAAAATTTGATGCTGACGGTGGATACTTGATTTCACGTTATAAGAAATGTCACAGTCTACTGAAATATCCCGTTCCAACGCAGTTTTAAGCCAGTTTAAAACATTCAGAATTTTTCAATCATGTGTTGGGATATATATATATATATCCCGACAGGAGTGAAAGGGTTAAACCATAGCCTAAACCTGAAGATAAATATGCAATATGGATTAATATGTAATGAATCAATATGTATGGTCAAAAACTTCAATTAAACTTCTGTATTTGCTTTTTTATTTCTTCACTAGGAATGTATCATCTATAACCCCATATAAATTACCATTTCATAATCACAGTTTCTGTATTGGTGGCATATTTATAGAACATATACCCCCCAAATAAAGAGCTTCTACTGTGTCCAAATTGCAGTTAACATTTGATACAAAGTTTTCAATCTTTATCAAGAAAATAAGTTTTATTTATACAAATATATTATGGTTAATTACCTTATAGAATTTTCTTTTAATGCCTTCACCAAAGAATTATCCCCTGACATTTCAGTAGGGTGTGGTTTAAATACCAATTCAATTTCATTTAGTGTCATTGGCTCAGATGGACCTTCACCCTCAGTATCTGTCTGTTCTGTTCTCTCACTAGATTCACTTTCTTCACTTCTTTCAGATGTTAAGACACTATAAACAAAAAATTTGTCAATTATAAAAAATTTATCCCTATTTTAATAACTTACCTTTTTGGACGTTTCCCCAATGACTTACTTATTGAACTAACACTAGATGAGACAGGACTAGGTGGTTGTGAGGGGGTACTTCTGCCTGATGGTGATGGGCTGGGTGCATTTGTATTTGCAGCAGGGGGAGCTGCTGTGACATTAGTTTGAAGAGGTGGTTGAACAGGAGGAGTGGCTACTACAGGCTGAGTAATTGCAGGTACCTAAATACAAAATGGGTATAATTTGGCATTTAAAAAATGGCATTGTATTTTTTTGCTTTAAGAGAAAAGGTAGATGTTTCTTTCAGTTTTGACTGAATTATCCAATGTATGATATATGTCAAAACTTCAAATAAAAACACCAATAATTTGGTTTTAATAGTCCAAAGCCAGCAACTTCTTTTTGTATTTGAAAAATAAAAAATGTTGAATATTTTTGGGTTATTAAGCATGTTCACTTGAAAGGGAATAGCAACATATACATAAAAGCAGAATTAGATCCATTTGATGAAGAGTATACAGTGTCATTAGCAAAGTGGAACTTTTTGCCTATTAGACAAATGTTTACACTGTAATTTTCAGTTTAGTGTGAGATTTAGTAGTGGTAAATCATATCGCATCCTTCAAATGTTTAAAAATATAAATTAAATGGTTCTAGTAGTAATAATCCAAATTAAAAATTACAGGTAAGTTTGTAATGTTATGTTCAGAATAAAAAATGTTTATATACAAAAAAATTATCTAAATAAACAAGTAAGAGGACTTATTAGTCATGCCTGCGTGAAGGAGGACTTGGGCAGAGGACAATGAAAATTTGCCATATTTGTATATGGTTCAATTGTCCTAGCAACTTTTTTACTTTTTTTAAACGATTTCACATACATTAGAATAATGTTTATTTTTAGGCATGTACCAGCAAGGTTGAATGAATCTCTATGAGATGTCACAAGAAGATATATTTGGATTATTAGATTCGCTGAAAGATGATGAATTGAATACTGATGATGGAGGTTCCTTGGATGATCTTTGGAGTCAGTGAGGTGGTTTATGATTTTATTTATTCCAATACTACTGAGCTGTTAAATTTGGAAAATGAAGAAGCCATCAATAACTGTCAGGCTATGAGGGAATAAGCAACAGAAAAAATATTGATAGTGTAAAGTGAAGCTTCTGCAATGGTAACAGAAATTCTTGAGTCAGTACCTGGACCAAGAAAAGACAGAAAAGAGTAAATAGTCAGTACCTGGACCAAGTACAGTAGAGCATAACTGAAGCAAATCTGTATGTGAACCAAATGAGAAATGAATGTCTCTCACAATACAACTACTTGGGAACTATAATCAATGAGTAGTGGGACAATAGCCAAGAGATTAAATGTCATATCTGAAAGTGCATTGACTATGAGCTCTGTGTTCAAGAGCCATGACCTCACCCTAGAAACAAAAATAAGGCTCCTTATATGTTACATGTACTCACTGCTTCTGTATGGAGTAGAAACGTGGTCATTGAAGGCAGAAATTCTATCAAAACTTCAGGCTTTTGAGCTATAGTTATACAGAAGGATCCTGAAGATACTGTGGACAGACAAAGTCACCAATGAAGAAATACTACGGAAGATGAACACAACTGCAGATTTGGTCAATATCTTGAAGGGCCGTAAGTTGCAGTACTTGTAACATATAATGAGAAATCAAGGCACATATGAGCTACTCCAATGCATTTTACAAGGTAAAATTGAAGGAAAAATGGCCCTAGGACAAAGAAGAATATCCTGGGTTGCTAACCTGAGAGCATGGTATAGAAAGACCTCCACACAGCTATTTCATATAGCAACCAACAAAATCATCATAGCCAGAATGATCGCCAACATTCACAATAGACAGGCACCCTAAGAAATGTTTAGGGTAAGAGGCACAGTTTTATTTTTATGCTTTGGAAATACTGGCTATTGTAAATTAATAGTTTATATGTACCTACAAAATTTGTTAAACAGGCCTTAACTCTGGTAAAATGTTACCTTATTTATATATTTCAGTGTAGGACAACTTACAACAGTATCTGCAGCATTTGGTGCATTTGGATTATTTTCTTCAGAGTTATTCTCTTGGCCGCCAACCACGGGTTCGTTAGTCTTTCTTCCTCTGTTTGGTCTGTTTTGGGATTGAATTTTAATTCCTTCTTTAATTGACTGCATTAAAGCTTCTCGTGAATGGCTTTTATTTAACTTAGCCAAAACCCTTTCCTGGTGAGCCTCATATTCATCTCTGCTTGGATATATTTTCGATATTAGCAAATCAAAGTTCGGATCTGGTCTAAGGGACCTTTTTGAAACTAGTTTTTTTCTGCAAGTAGGGCATTCTTTATTACCAGATCTCAATGCTGTAATAATGCAGTCGGAACAAAATCTATGAAGACATTCTTTTGTAGTCATAGTCTTTTTTAACATATCCAAACAAATCGGGCACATCAATTCACTGTGGAGGCTTCTTGGACTCACTGCTATTTCTGTGTTGTCGGTGATCGCTTCTTGGGGAGTTCGATGTAACTCGTACAAAGAGAGTTCCCATGTTTTATTTAGACCGATTTGCTCGGAAGTCGTCATAGTTTCCAAAAAATTGCAAAAACACTTTTAATTAATTTGTATAACAAGATTGTAAAAACATCATAACAAACAATTATTAAGATATACACAATACACACTCGATTGACATTTAACATTTAATCAAAGTCAAGTCAGTTTAAATTTGACAGATAAGGCACGATTTGGCGAATTTAAATTATTATATTATACCACATGTTATATAGTTTATAATTATATGATTATACTTTTATCACAGAATAATAAACAATTAGAATGCTTACTCTGCTTGAAAAAATAAGTACGCGCATCTCGTTCGCTCAGGTAAGGCGGAATTAGCCATGTTTTAAACGGAACCAGTGCTGTTCAGTGACATTTTATCTGGGGTGAATAGACAAATTAACGCGGTTTAATTTATTTATGACAACTACAGGAACTATTTTATTCGTACTTTTAGTTGAAGAATAGATTAAATTATTTCAAATGTACTAAATGATAAATCTCTAAAAATTTAAATTACAGTTCTGTCGTAGCTTGTCACAAATGTCTCAATTCGAGTCTATGCTTCCGTCTAAACCATGGCGTTCGCGGGCTGACAAACTTCAAAGGCGGCATCTGAGAGTGGGCATTCCGATTGTTATTTATTCTGTGTTTTTATATTATACTTTTTCTAATCAGTCTCAGATCTTTTTTAGAGGTTCTGACATTTTTTTAGCCTATTTAAGTTAAATATTAGCACATAATCATAACCAATCAGGATGCCGACTGTGCTTGTCAAGATAAGTACGCGCGTCTCGTTCGCGCAGACGGAATCGGCCATGTTTTAAACGGAACCAGTGCTGTTCAATGAAATATTATCTGAAAAAATTAACCCAGTTTAATTTATTTACGGCAATCAATAATATACATAATATGCACTATTTTATTCGTACTTTTAGTTAAAGAATAGATTAAATTATTTCAAATTTACTAAGTTATTAATCTCTAAAAACTTAAATGACAGTTCTGTCGTAGCTTGTCACAAATTTCTCAATCCGAGTCTATGTTTCCGTTTAAATTATGGCGATCGCGTGCTGACACACTTCAAAGGCAGCATCTGAGAGTGGCCATTCTGATTGTTATTTAATCTGTGATATTAGTAAGTAATAAATATAGACGAGGCGCACCTGCGGCACAGGATAAATAACAAATCAAAATCGTCAACTTCAACAAAAAAAAAAGCACTGCAAGGAGGCCTAAAACCACCGGTGTTAGCTTACATGGAATACTCACTTTCTGAAAACCACACAGAAAGCTACTATGTCCCTCGGCAGATGTAGAAGAATGTGCGATAAGAATTGGGGCCTTAACCGCAAAATGACTTCATGGATATACACAAGGGTTATTAGACCAATGATAACATATGGCTCGCTGACGTGATGGACAAAGACGCAGCAAGTGGGAGCAATAAGGCTTCCAGGTAATACACAAAGGCTAGCATGCGTGCTGTGAATTACGGGGGCCATGAAAACAACTCTTACAGCAGCGTTGGAAGTCCTGCTAAATCCACCACCACTTCATATCTTTATACAGGGCGAAGCCAGATCAGTTATGCACATTACAGTGATTAATCCTTAGTCAGCGACATATAAGCCAGGTGCATGGTGCTGACAACAGAAAGCTAATATAGGAGCTAAAAGCCAATATTGTGATGGGGCAACCTATGGATGCAACAACTACGAGATATAGCTTTAACAATAAGTTCAAAATTAAGATACCAGGCAGGGAAGACTGGAATGAAGATATACCCATACAAGCTGCTGCTACCTGGTACTCGGATGGCCCAAAAACATCGGATGGTGTGGGAGCTTGCATCGTAGGGACAAATCAAGGGACACATTTCCCGGTAGGTCTATCTATTCCAGGCGGAAATAATGACAATCCATCACTGCTTGGAAGAAATAGAAAGGCAAGAAAGAACGAAAGAAAAAAAAACAGTTGAAATGGCGAAACAAGGCTCATTAATGCCATTAAAAGGACCGGAACCCTTCTACGGCGTTGCAAAGACAGTAACAAGAATGTCTACAAGGAAGTGGATAGGTCACAAATCTCTGGAATTATGAAGAAATGCACCAGGACAAAGACAGGCGAAATAGTTCATTACAGAACATTCGCCAAAATTTACGGCAGACTTAATAAGCAAAGACAGGAAAACAGTCAAAGCCGTAGTAGGTCTTCGAACAGGACACTGTAAGCTGAATAGGCACTGAAAGCTGATAAGATTATCAAATGATGCCCTGTGCAGATTCTGTCACCTCGAAGAAGAAACAGCACAGCACATTCTATGTCGGTGTGACAGTCTGGCAAATGTTCCGTTCTTTGCTTTAGGAAAAGAAAATCCACCGGCAAATAGCTACATGGAAGGTACATTCTCGAAGCTATTAGACTCTTTAAAAAGGGTCCGGCTAGATAACGTTATCTAGAAGTAGAGGACCACAATAGATCTGAAAAGGTCGCAGTGGAATAGGCCAAAAGGCCACCCTTAAAATCTACCTATATATCTAAGTTAAATATTAAATTATAATGGGATCTACAATTAATTGTAGTGAGAATTATATTTTACATTTGTTTTGAAATTTTCATCGAGTAGGTACAATAAACCAGAATACCTATGTTTTATAGATCTGACAAAGGCTTTCGATCACATCCAAGTCGAAGACGTTTTACACCTACTGTATAAAAGAAACATACCAATCAATATTATACAAACCATCGAAAACATCTACCTCCATAATCGAATACAGGCAAAGATAGATGGAAAACTAATACAGTGTATACCAGTACAAAGCGGAGTCAGACAGGGTGACTCGTTAAGCCCAGTTCTCTTTAATATAATAATGGATGAAATAATAAAAGCAGTACGTAAAGGTCATGGTTACAGAAAGAGAACAAAGAAATGCCAATATTATGTTAAGCAGACGACGCCGCATTAATCGCAGAGACAGAAGACAAGCTCCAAAGATTAACACA